GAATATGTATGCATATCCGTGATACTAATGTGATTTTATGTTCTTCAATCTCATCATGATTATCTACTTACAGGAATTTTTAGATTTAATAAAATATTGGACTTTATCTTTTGAGATTTCAAGTGACCTCAAATATCAAAGACTATGAATGATTTTGTCTTCTTGTGTGACATATGTTCAAGATCCAAGAATTTCTAACATTATTCTTAAAGATTTCTATACCCACTACTAATTCTAAAACAAATATGGTCTTTAGTATCAATAGATTTTTTCATTGATCTACCACCATCAGTTATATTTAATGCTATCTAAATTTTTATGAATTAACTTATAAAGATGGTATATTTTTTCCTATGTAAAAAAATAATTTTTAGAAAAGAAAAAACAAGGCTCTTTTTTATAATATATATTGATATCATCGCTTATTTGATGACATTATTTTTTATTAAATACTTCAATTTATTTTAAAGTTTTTGAAATCATTTTTTAAGATATTGAAGGTGGATATCAAACTTTTTTCTACCTTCCACCTTTAAATAGATGGTTAAATAGAAAATATCAATTAAGTTTTGGAATAGTTTTAAATTGTACCATTAACATGAATGGACCTCGTATTTATCTTTAGTAGAATTTACTTATAATAATATCTTTTGTGCTTTGATTCAACAACCACCATTATATTCCAATTATGGTTACCATCCAAAGCTTGATTTTTTAGGTACATCAAAAGATGAAAATCTAGCAGTTGAAGATCTTACAAAAAAATTGGCACAGCTCCAAACAACTTTGAAGATTCATTTATAAGTAGCTCAAGATTCTTTCAAAGCATCTTCAAATGAATTTAGAAATGAATTCCTTGCTTTTCAAGTTGGAGATAAAATATGGCCTCTTTGACAAAATATCAAGACTAATTGGCCTTGCAATAAATTGGACTACCAAAGATTGAGGCCGTTTTGTATTCAAAAGCAAATCAATCTAATGGCTTATTGGTTCGAATTACCTATATCTACGAAGGTACATCCAATGTTTCATGTTCCTTTCTTAAGGACTTATTAAAAATCAATTATTCTAAGAAGAATATAACCATTACTACCTTGCATTGAAATAAGTAATCATGTGGAATATGAAGTAGAAAAGATCCTTAATTCTTAGCAAAGAAGAAACAAATTAGAATATTTTATTCATTGGTGCAGCTACAATATCAATGAGTATATGTGAAAAGTAGTAAAAAATCTAATTAATGCAACATAAAAGATATAGGAATTTCATTGATACTATCTTCAAAAACCAAAACCTATTTTAAGATGACTATTTTATGAAACTACTGCTAGGATATTGTATGTAACAAAGAAAATAAATATGAAACTCATACTTGTTATAAAACTTGTAGTTCGAAGGAAATATTATAGATAACCAATAAGAATATTTTAGGAATATTTTAAAATATTTTATTAGATTTTATAAGATTCTATAAGATTCAAAAAAATTCTTAAAACATTCTAAAAGTTTTTAGATGGTTTTAGAATATTCTAACAGATTTTAAAAAGTTCTAAGAGGATTAAAGAAGTTGTCTAAGGAGCTTTTTAAGATTGCTTCATCTTCAAGCTATATGGAAATTTCTTGAAAAGCTTTTTAATAGCTAAGTATATATATTGGAGTTAAGGCTGAAGGGATTGTCAATCTTAACAACATATCTTTTAGAGCTTGAGCTCACCTTCCTTGATATTGATCTTATACTTATTTGATTTAATTAAGTTTTTATTAGTTTTCTTGTTAAAACTCTTCCATTTAACTTCTTGTTTGATCTCCTATATAATGTATCTATGACAATACCTATAAATATAAATTTTATTTCTAGGACTATGGTCTTTTGAAAGATATTTGTATAATATATAGATATTACTTACTAATATGTGTTTATAGGTGTATTTATAAATACTATAAATATAATGAATATATTATTTTTAAAATATATATAAAAATTATTTTATATAACTTATAAAAATACATACATAATTAATATGCACACCATTTTTTAATATAGTGAATTATAATATCAAAACATAAAAAATTTTGATTACAAATGTCTTAATAAGTTTGCCTAATGAGATTAAAAAAATAAAATTATTGACATACAAAACTAACTTATTGTTATTCACATTCTTGATCCAAACAACTTTAGTAGTGTCATTAAATCATTATAAATAACCAATAAATTTGTATGATTAAATTATTCTAGCACTAATATAAGAATATTAGTTCAACTAAAAAAATTCAATACTGCATTTAATTTAATTTAATTTAATTTTTTTGTAAATATGGACATTTATAATACTTGTATTTTTTAAGCAAAAATGTATTATTAATTATACCAACATTATAATTTCTACAAAAAAGTATAATATTTGTGATAGTTTTGAATAAATTTTAGAAGAATCTCAAAATAACCACTTAAATAAATTATATTTAGTAATATTTTATACATTCTTTATTCTTAATTCAAGACTTTTAAAGGTATCAACCTTTCTATTTACAACTATAGTAATATCTATTTATTTGTTAAATAAATAGTATAATATTTTATATTTTTTTATTTGTTAATAAATCACAATTGAGTGATGTATGATTATCTACCAACTTTGTTTTTTTACATCCATTAAGATTCTCCAACAACGTAATCAAGAAATTATAAGATGTTTGTAAATTTACATATTTTAATGTTGACATGCTTTTGTTTATTATATAAAATATCTAAGGAACAATGAACCAATAGGATAAGCCATAGGATACAAATTTGATCTTTGATTGGCTACATCTTTCATTATTTTTATGAAAAGCAAAACAAAATTTGAGTTATGCAACAATTCACATGGTCTTAATAAAACCAAGTTTACAAATGCATAGGGCCTTAATAGCACATATAATTTACTTCTACCTCAAAAAAAGATATCATATTGGCTTTAGACTTAATTATCATTGTTTTTATCAAAAGTTTTCTACTAACCTTGAGCAACTTTTTTTTTACTCATTCTTTATTAGTGCATTGATTGTATCAAAAGTTTATGCAAGAAACACAATCTCAAAGCACAATCTTGTGCAATGGTGAGATTACATCATGCTCTCATTGGTGTAGTTTCTTTTTTGTTTGTTACTTGAGCTTAGATTATCAGCATTCTCTAGGCGCCCATAAGCACTAACCGCTCTACTATGAACAGCTAATAATTATTATGAACAATAGTGTCCAAGATTGAAGAGAAATTCTTTGGCTTAAACACCTTGGATTTGTAAGTATATTCCTAAATCATTTGAAAGAATGCAACAATGTTACAGACATAGCATGTCTTAAGCATGGCTTACTGCTAATCAAGGTTGAAATTCACCTTTTGCATGATTGTTCAATTCTTGATTTTGATTGTGATTGTCAAGACCTTAACCGATGAGATGCTTTCAATAGTCTTTGTTGTATGAATTTGACTCTCCGTGTTGACCTTGCCGTCTGTAAAATGTGAGTGAATGTTTGCGGAGGATGGTGATGTGGTGTTAATTGTTGCCTGAGTTTGGATTTGTGTCGCTTGCGCAATCAAATCATGTCCACACAGTTGTGGATGGAGACAATTTGACCAAATAGTGGGCTGGGATGAGTTATTTTGCTCAATAATTTGGATAACATGGTAAATTCTGCCGTGGCAACCGTTTGCTCATGTTGCTCAGCACACTGCCTATGCGTCCTCTTTTGATAAGTCATGTGTCGTCTTCATCTTTTTTTTAACATGAAATGTCGAAAGATTGTGTACGACTTCCAACAAGAATTTGGCTCAACACAACAAACTAACAACCGGGCTAGACTTTGTATTTCCTACCCCATGGCTACAGTGTGTACATCATCAACCAGCCAACAGTAGGACGCTCTGATTGGTTACCTGGTGAGTTGCTCTCGCAATGGTTCACTGCGGCTGCTGGTTACAATTTAATACCTTGGGGACCTCCATTTTAATCTTTCAATGAGCTTCTGTCAAGACCTTTCAATGGCTAGCCAAATATGGGCTCCACAGCGTTGTTCTTTCCAGAAGAAAAGGTAGGAAAATTCATGAAGCAACACTCTATTCCTTGGATATTTGTGGTAAATTTTGGACATCTTCTTCATTCATTCCATCACTTGCTAAACCTTTGTGAAGCGGTTTTGCCTGATTTTCGAATCGTCGAGCAAGTATTTGCAAACGCATTTAAGTGCTACATCAAACATGGTCCAAGATCATGGAGGTCTCAAGGTTCAGCAATGCCAAGGTGAGTAGCCTTTCAACTCTGCTATCAAGGTAAGCAACCTCTCAACACTGCTATCAAGGTGAGCAGCCTCTCAACGTTGTTAGCAAGATGAATCGACTGCTCAGATAATCACAACCATCCAACCATATTTGCAACAGAGTTCATATTGAAATAATAACAGGACAGGCAAGAGCTGGAGCAAGAAGAAGCACATTCAAATCATAGACATGAAATACAAGATCACCTGCTTCTGCATACAAGAATTTTGCACTGAGGGGGAGTTGTGTAAGAAAATAGAGAAATAGTAAAAAACTTTGGAATCACTTTTTCCAAGATGAATAAAAGGATATGCTGGAAGTCGATCATAAATTCCAAATTCCTAAACAACGCCAAGATTCAGGCACTGTTAAAAGTAAGAGAAAATGATCAATAGTCGAAATATTGAATCTTTCTAAAATCAGCATCTAAAATTGTAAGCAAATAAGGCAGACTGCTCAACATTCTCTTTAACAATTCGCAACTAGTAATGACCAAGTCAAATGCACCAAAACCATCATTTAGAACGTACATCCTCGACAACCATCGTATCGAATCACACCATGGATATTTCCTACTGACTTCTCGACGAAAAAACTTTCAACACTAATAAGAATCATTGCAAAACATCGCATGAACGATGCATACATAACCGCCGCGTGCTTATAAAACTTCATCACTGCTACAATGACTCTTCATGATTAACTAGAAAAAAGAAAGCAATTAATTTAATACAGATTTCAACCAAACATACCATGCAATAAAAACAAAACACACACGACTATGTTGGGAGAGCGAATATCTAAGCTGACTTAAACAGTAACTATCAAATTACCACCAATGAGCTAATGTCATCAAGATCCTTTCATCAGATCTGATCACCACAACAACAACTACAAAAACAACCAACAACTGCTGGTGCAATCATCCCCTCCCCGCCTCTCTCGTACCTCGGACGACAACCACCTGCCAATACAGATACACGGATCACGGAAACCTTCTGCACGGCCTTTCGAAAACCTTCCCCTCTACCCTCCACCCTGCCCTCCCTTCCCTGCCCTAACACCCATCTCCCTGTGCCCATGCCCCTACATCCCAAGTCCACACACCCACCTACTCCTCCGCCCCACCGTGCAACCACTTTATGCACCACTCCTTCGCTACCACACCACCGCCTCCCTTTCCCCGTCCACGCTCCTTCTCCGTATTGCTGCTCCACGCCTGCTCCTCCGCCGCCACTGCCACCGCAACATCCCTTCTGCACACCCCCTCGCCCTGCCCGTCTGCTCCCTCGCCAACCAAGCACGCGGAAAAAATCTACACCCCCATGCCTCCAGGGTGCTCCTGCCCTCTATACGGGCTGTGTGCACACAACGACTACCCTACCATCTCACCACCTGCGTCAGCACTCCACGAAAGGAAGAACGCCCCCCGCAGCCATGATCCTCTTCTCCAGCTGCACCCACCACCCCACGCTCAGAACCCACACCAAACCATTTCTCCCAATCACCCGCCTCACCTGCACACCCCACACACGCCCTCTCGCACCACTTCCTAACCAACCACGCCCCCTCACTCCCCTCACGCTCCACACTTTTCTCTTCCGAGCTCTGTACCTCCAGCATTTTCCGCAGTTTGCTCCGGACGTCGTTGAACTCCTCCTTCACCTTCGCCAGGTGATCCACGCACCTGCACCGCCCAACCCACGTTCTCATTCTCGCGCCACATAACCATGCCGACACTCCTCCTCTCCCGTCACCCATCTCTACCACCATGCCCCACCACCTTCCACCTCGCGCCATTCACGCGCTCACATCCACCCCCACCCAACTCTCCCCCCCTTCTCGCGCACCAAACATCCCCATCCCATGCTCCACCCTCACCCCCATCACTCACCCTTTCTTGTCCTCCGCATCGCAACAATGCCGAAAAGCGACGCACACATTCTTCACCCTTTGCGCACCAATGCTGACACCCACCATGTTCACACCCACGCCCACGGGTTAGCTCAACAGCCACCCACAATCCTACCTCCGTCCCCAAACCTCTCCCTCCTTTCCCCACCCCCTCCACAACACCACATCCACCCACGTCGCATGCCTCCCCCGACACCTCTTCTCCTCTCATCTGCACTCGCAGGACCCTCCGACAAACCACACGCCCCACAATGCGCCAATGCTCAACCCCGACATCCCCTGCTGCTCCCCAAACCTCGCCATCATCCTCGACCTCGCCCCAACCACCCATCTCCCACACCCACTCTGCACCCACCGCTCCACTCGCACCCTTGCCCACCACACCGTGCCTCACCACAAATCGCCACCCATCCCCCGCACAAACCCCGTTCCCTTCCTCAATGCCACACTGCTCAACAATCCCCATCATCCCCGACTTCCTTTCCCTCTTCTCGCACCATCCACTACCCCTGCCTCCCGCACTTCTCCACCGCTTCGTCCTCCATGCACCCGACCTCGACCCTGCTCCGCACACTGCTCCCGGCACTCATACCCTCCGCTCTGCTCTGCTCTGCTCTCCTCTCCTCTCCTCTGCTCACCCACCACTTCGCCGACCTGCTGCGTACCTGGAGCTACTGCCCTTGAATTGATGCACGTGCCCGTCCACCACCTTGAAGTCTACCGGATCCGTCTTCCTGCAACCCCGATTCCCCAACCCCCCGTTAGTACCCCCGCCATCTCCCCGACCACTGCCAACCACCGATCCTCCACATCCATCACCCTTCCCTTCGCTTCCCTTCCCCCCTGCTTTCCACTGCAACCCTAATCTCCCATCCACTGCCCCATCTCCCCGCCCCGATCACCACCCCCACCTACACGTCGTCATCCCATCCCCTACACAACACAATACTTCACCATCCAATACCCTCACCACCACACCCAAGGTCGGACCCCACGTACAGCGATTCCGTCAGATTCTCCAGAAGCTTCTCCGTGTCGTCGAAGAACAACGTCACCACCTCCTCCACGAAGTCTGGACTGCTCTCGTCTTGCAACATCTGCAGCTGGCTGAACTGATCGTCCAAATATCCCTGCTCGCCACACACACACACACACGCCACCACCACCACACCGTCAAACCTCGCCCTCGAATGCCAATGCGTCCCCGACCGCCCACCCACTCAGCCCCGCATCGATCCCACCACGCCCCACGGTGCCTCTCTGCTCCGATCTCACCAACCCCCCCACACCACCATCCCTCCATCACCACTCAACCCTAAACCATCCCACCACCACCACCACCTCGGATCGCGACGCATCGCAGCGAACGCGCCTCGCCCGCGTCCCCAAACCTCCCACGACTAGAAACTACCAAACTGCAACATGTCCACCCAACCATTGTTACCTCCGACAGCATGCCATCCAGCAGCTCCTGGTGTTGATCCAGAAGCTCGTCCACGCTACATTCCCCCTCCTCCTCTTCCTCCTTCACCTTCACCTCCGCCTCCGCCTCCCGCACCTTCACCTGCTCCACAGCCTGCACTGCACTCGCGGGGGCAGCCGCATCGCTCACCTTGCCCACCACCTTGGGCTCCGCCATCACCTGCTTCCTCTCACCCTGGCAACATGTAGCCTGCGCGCATGCTCCGACGCCTGCCAGCTTTCCAAACACAGCAGCAACCTGCCCAGCCGAGCGAGCAAGGCCAGAACCACGAAACCCAATTGTGAAGGCGCAACCGAGAAGATGGTCGACGAATGACAAGCGTCCACCACCCCAGCGCTCGGGGCTCACAACACCGGGTCCCCAAAACCCACAAGTCAGCAGCGGAATCGCATCACGCGCGGGAGAAGAGGCCTACGGTACGAGAAGGTGGGGGCTCGCAGAAGCGCGCAGGCTTTCAGGGCCACGCTCCGTCACCGCGACCGCGACCACGACAAAAACACGGCAGCGCTCCATGAGGGCCACCGGGGCCTGCACCCCTCACTTCTCACTGGCTGCCGCTTCTGCTGCAGCCGCGCGGCTGCGTGGCGCCGTCGCTGGGTTGGGGAATGCCGTGTCACGCAGCCAGACAGACTGGCTTCGGCACCGTTGGCGTGCAGCTGCCCGGGCAGCTCACTTGCCGAGGTACTCCCCTCCATGAACCTGCAAACCAGTGATGAACGTATCGGGTGGAATGGTTTTATGATGAATTATTGATATGCACTGCACTGGAGGAAGAGCTGGGCACCGGATCCCAGCATTGATGGTGCCCTTCCGTGCTGATCCATGTCTGCCAACTCTCCGCTTCTCTCTTCCACTAGATTGCATCCATTAAGGAACTCCCGAGCAAGTTTTCACTTCGAGGATGTTCGTTGAAGATGAAACTCTTTGACTGTATTCTGGTTTTGGTCTGAGTGTTTCACTTTGGGGTTGTTTTCGCCCCTTATTTCCCCCTTTTCCTGTTCGATTCCTACAGTTTGCCATGTCGAAATCTGTAACAAGTTTTCGTAGGGGCCGCCTTGTGATTTACTCCAGCCTGTGTTTTGTTTTGTTTTTTTTTTGTTTTTTGTTTTGTTTTGTTTTTTCTTTTTCTTTTTCGTGCTTGTAACCCGCTCTCGTTGTTTCGGGTTTTGTAAATATTATATACAACGGAAGTTTGTTTAGACGAGATGTGGTGTTCAAATAAGCACCTCCTAGTACACCGGAATTTATGGTTTGGAAGAAGTATACTTTGTAACATAAGACTACCTTCACTCAATACAATGCTTGGAATCCAATGTCTTGAAATCTGCCTTTATTCCTCTCACTTGATAAATTTCACAAAATGTTCAGCATGTTAAAAAGTATTTGTAGATTATATTGCACGACATATGTGAAATGACTATTACAGTTTTGCTTATGTTATGCAATTTCATGATAAAAATTGTTAAGTAAGTAAATGTGATTATTTAATAGTTATTTTGCAAAAGTTATGTGGAATGTTTAGTTACTTCAAGAATACACGTTTTCAGTTTTTTAGCATCACTTCAAAAGTTTTATATATATATATATATATATAAAATATTATTTAATCAAGATTAGTATCTTATAACAAAGATGGAAATTTTGTATTATGAAATTTGTAAAAGTATAGCATTGAAGTAGAGTACCTAAAATAAAATTTTGTAAGGCCGAAAATAATGTTTTTGTCATATTACAATACACTAATTTTTTTTATTTTTCTATTTTTTTTATTGTTTTTTTTTCTATTTTTTTCCATCAAACTTGGAGGATTGTGTATCTTCTTCTATCATTCATTAGATGATTGTATGTACTTGAAATTATTAAAGAACAAGGACTATGAAGTCACAATACTTAGTATTTGTAAGGTTGTACACAAAGAGAGTATAGAATAAGATGTCTTTTATCTTCAACACCTATTACTCATAGGTTGTGATTGCTGCTATAATAAACAATTTCTATTCTTTGATGAATACATCCATCAAATATTCTATGGAGACTATCCATTGTTATCTTATCTATTAGAGGAATATGCTTTAAGATCATGTGTTTGTTCATCTATCTTATCTTTTGACCTTCTCACATACCAAATGCCAATCCTTTGACTAATAGCAACTTATTTAAACTAATATCTTCTATAATATAACTTTTATTTATTTACTTTAAGAACTTTAACACTCTCACTTTGCTATTAGTCAAATTTTTTCAATCCTAATGTCTTTTTGAATATGTGATGTCTATCCTTTAGTAATGCCTTTGTCTACAAATCAATAAGCATATCTTCCATTGCACAATACTTCATATCAATCACTCTCATTTCAATCTTTTCTCTTATGAAGTAATATTGAATGTTAATGTGTTTGGTCCTTGAATGACACTTTGGATTCTTAGAAAATGCATGACATCCTTGATTGTCACATTCCATTGGAGTTGCTTCTATTTGCACAACTCCGATGTCTTCTAAAAGTTGTCTTAGCCATATTGCCTCCATTGCACTATGACTTGCTGTCATTTACTCTACCTCCTTTATTGACCTTGCAATTGTTTGTTGTCTCTTACAATTCTATGAAATAGCTCCTACTCCAACAAAGAATACATATCCCGTTGTTGACCTTCTATCATTTGCATCTTCATCCCAATTCACATCATTGTAATCATACATATTAATATTATCACCTCCAAGGTACAATTTGAAATACAAAGTGCCTTTTAAGTGCCTCATGATCTTTTTGATGATTGCCCAATGGATTGGTCCAACCTTTGACATGTGTTGGCTCACAACACTCACTACATATACAAGATCCACCCTTGTGCCAACCATTGCATACATAAGTGAATCTACTATTGCCTTGTATGGTCTACCTTGCATTTAACCTTCAACTTCAGCAAACTCTTAATCCATGAGCTTCATCAACTTCAAATTAGCCTCCAAAAATGTATTTGTAACCTTACACTCTTTCATGTTGAATTGTTTCAACATTTCTTTATTATACTTGTTTTGGCCTATTGTAATGGTCTTCTTAGCACAATCTCTCACAAATTCTATTCTTAAACAATAGTAAAGCTCTTTCAAATCACTCATCTCATACTCCTTTTCTAACTTTGCCTTCAACCAATCCATCATCTTCATAGTATTGGTTAAGTTGATTAAATCATTAACATAGAGGATGACAATCAATATGAACTCACTTAATTATATAACATACAAGAAATGATCAGATTCACTCCTTCCAAATCCTTTATTGACAAAGAATATATCAATATGTTGGTGCCATACCCTTAGAAATTGCTTGAGCCTATACAAGACTTTCTTCAACTTACAAACAAGATGTTGTTTGTCTTCTTCTACAAATCCTTAAAGTTACTCCATATAGATGTCTTCTTTTAGATTTTCATTCAAGAAAGTTGTCTTCGCATCCATTTGATGCATTTTTAAGTCCATTTTTGCTCCAATTGCAACAATGATTCTAATAGTGGTGAATTTGGCCATGAGAATAAATATCTCATTGAAATATATACCAACAATTTGTGAATAGCCTTTGGCAACTAATCTAGATTTATATCTCACAACATTACCCATCATATCCCTTTTGGTTCTAACTACCCACTTATAACCAATTAAAGATCGATTTGATGGAAATTGAAACAATTTCCATATTCCATCATCTATAAATGATTTGTAATCTTCTTCCATAGCATTCTCCTACTTCATAGCATCCATGGATTTCATTACATCATACAAACTTAATGGATCAATAAAGACTGCAACATTAGCATATTCTTCACTTATTTGAGAAAAGATGTGATTCTTCTACTATGCACTAAGATGTTTTCTATCTTTCAAAGGATATCTCCTTTCACTTGATGAAGCTTCAACTTCTTTCACTCCAAGATCTCTTGTAAGCTTCTTCTTCTTAAAACTTGTTTCTTCATATTCAAAGATTGGTACTCTTCATCATCATCATCATCATCTTTAATATCTTCATTGTTTTCATTGCTAGTTTTAGCAATTGTAGGCACACTATGGCCTATATGCTTTGATTCTTCATCTTAATTTGAATTTCCACCATCATCAATGTTATCATCTTTTTCTTCTTCCTTTGTTGAAATTAAAGATGTGTCTACAAACATACCATTACTTCTACTTGGACACATCTCTAAGTACTCATAAGCATTCTTATGTTCCAAAAATTCTACATCACGACTCTTAATGATCTTCTTGGTTCCTAAACACATAAATCTATATGCCTTGGTACCTTCATAATATCCGACAAACATACATTTTGTACCTTTTGCATCAAGTTTGCATCTCATACAATATGGTATTTTTGCATAAGCAATGCATCTAAAAATCTTCATATATAAAACATAAGGTTTCTTGCCACTCCAAGCTTCTTGTGGAGTTAATGATGTGAATACACTTATTGGGCACTTATTCCTTGTATATATTGCATTTACCACTGCTTCCACTGTCGGGGTAGAGAGAATTTGTCTCAAGAAAGCGTTGGGCTTCTGGTTGCCACTAAATGCTCAAACAAGTCTAAGATATAAAGTATCAAGTTTATATATATATATATAATATTCTTTTTTAGGGCAATTACATCAAAACATAAGCCCAAGTACTAAGAAAACATCCAAATGTATGATAAGTATCTTAAAACCTTATATATTCTTATGAGAGATGTTTCTCAAACTTCAACACCTCATATCTCACGATTGGACTAGCCAAACAACCCTTAATTTTACATGAAGTACTGATATACTTTCAAAAACTTCCACAAAAAAATTCAACTGCAAATTCATAACGAATCTTGAGATATCGCCAAAACCCTGATAGTAGCTTTAAACCCTAGCTTACATACACCCGTGTGCTAATTTCTTCATATCTCACAAAATAAGTACTCAAATACCATGAAACTTTAATCTATAGCTTTTTAACTTAATAACTCACACTTATGGAAATTTTGAGCCACAATTTCGCCTAGAAACTTAAGATATGGCTCCAACTATTACTATCAACAAAATGACTCACTTACTGCCTTTGAATTACATGTGTTGTCTTCAATGCCCTATAACTCTTTCATCTAGACTTGGAATTCATCAAATAGTATATGTAAAGTGTAGCCAAGAAAGTATCCTCTCCAACTTCAGTCGCCAATCTTTCATTGCTCTCCATATGCATATGTTATGCTTCAAAGAGTGACAGTAGGTACAAATTTGATACCTTCATTTTGAACACCTATATCTCCTTCAAAAAAACTCGAAATCACACAAACTCTTCACCCAAATTATATCCAAAACCCTGAAATTTCTGACTCTAGCCTCCAAAGCTCGAATGAATTCGAAAGAGAAATCCTAATCCCTAATAAGGCCTCGGGCAGCCTCCTTGAAGCCCATTGGGCATGGCCTTTGACCAATAAGAATGAAGTTTTCT